GAGCCATGGTGGCTTGTGCCTTGGGCTGCTCACCTCAAGGTCAGCAGCTTGAAACCACCAGGCACATGGGAGGAGAAAGGTAAGGCTTTCCACTCCCTAAACAGTCTTGGGAACCCACTGGGGCAGTTCTACCTGGTCCCATTGGGTTGCTATGAGGACCACCTGGAAGACAATGAGTTAGGATGGGTTTCAAAGTATTTCTAGAAGGGGAGGGTAGGATATCAGAAAGACCGGGCAGGAAACTGCACGCCTTCCTCATTCATGGTCGGTCCCTGCTTCACTTGCCCCGTCTCATGCACCCTCCTAGTTGGGAAACATTAAGTGGTTCTACCAGTGATCTGTCATAGGCTGGTAATGCTCCGAGAGCCAGCCTCTCTGTACCCCTTCCCTAGGCACGTCTCAGTGCATGTATTCAACGCCGGCATTGAGGGCTGCTACTTGCCAGCGCTGTTCTAGGCACAAACATAACAGCCAACACTCTTCCCTCTCAACCGTCCTCTTACCTTCTAAGGTGGAGAGATGGGCCAGGTGCGAGCAAGCTGATCTAGAAACTGGTGCTGCTAACTACTAAAGGGAAACAAAGGGAGGAGAAAGAATAGTGAGTAGGGGGCTGTCCACCAACCACGAGAGCTGAAAATGTTTAAGACCCTTTCATCTAAAAAGGGCCAGGGAGGGTGTGAATAGAATATGAAAAATGGTAGCATTATTTTAATCGCATTCATTTATTATTTATATTTGGGAGTCACCAAAGGTTTTTGACATTTGAAAACAATTTGTCAGTGATAGTTAGCTCCGAATCTCTAGATATATATCATGTTGCCAAGACAGCTAGTGAGGCCTTAGAGCTGTCATAGTCAAAAGGAAAAACAAGCAGACCCTCCCTGCTGTGGAGTCAGTTGGGCTCATAGCAAACCAGTAGGACAGCGTGAAACTGCCCTGTGGGTTTCTGAGACGGTACCTCTTCATCTGGTGGTTTTGAACTGCTGATCTTGTGGTTAGTAGCCCGGCGTATAATCCACTCTGCACCAGAGCTCCTCTAGTTATTGTTAGAGTGATAAAAAATCACCACCAGCCCATTTCCCTGCCTTCACCAGGAATTAACCAGAAACCAGTGGTCACGGAGTCACCGAGTCATGCTCT